CCCCGGTATCCATTGTAGAGGAGGCTGGGTGGACCCCAGAGCCGGTCTGGACGCTGAGGCTAGAGGAAAAATCCTCTACCTCCGTCGGGGATCGAACCCCTGCCGTCCAGCCCGTAGCTACTCACTATACTGACTGAGCTATCCCGGCTCATATAGCGAGGTTAGTAAGAACTCTAAATTAAACCTATTAAAAAGCGTGTCTTTTGTGAGAACTGTTGATGTTGAAGCGCCTGTACTGTGTGTTGCGTCGTCCCCTTCATCGTGTGTATTTGTGTGATTCCTGATTGGTGTTCGTAATGTCTTACATACTGAATTAAAAAGAAATGTCTAATTTTTTATAAATATATGAAACCGAAATATGATTATTACTATTATTATTTTTGTTATTGTTACGGAATTTTTCATATTATCGTAAACTTTTCAGAATTATTGCGAGTATAAAGGCAGTTAAACTGGATTGGTTAAAACTGTCGATGGTAATTTGAGAACCCAGCAAAAGTACTTTTGGAAATATATATCTAAATGTAAAAGGAAAGTCTACTATCAAAATTGAAGTATAGAAAACTGTTATGTAACCCCAAGTTATTGTAGAAGCCTTTGCAGACCATTTTCCTTTGTTCTCCCTCTTCTGTTAACAGAACAGTTCTTCGTTTTTTCTGATTTTGTGAATATTTCACATGTTTATGATTCATTTGTTTAGAAAATGTTTCGGACCAGATGAAATTCCTAATTTTATAATAAAATGCTCTTCTAAAATATTTACTCCTTTTCTTTTACATCACATTTTCGGTGTTGAGATTGTTTAGATGTGTTTAGTTAAGGCGTGTTTTCGTTTGTTTGTGTTAAGTGTGTGTATTTATTAGTATTTCCGTTTGCTGTTGGCAGACACTCTGGTAAATGGATTAATTTAATTACAGTTGAGCTCGTTAGTAGCAGGACAGTTTTAAATTATTCTCCTTTTATGCGATAGTAGTGAAAACAGTTGAGGTATTCCTGCTTTCATACCCCACGCATTTAAGGTGTATGGGGAGTGGCGATAACTGCTACAGGCATTCTTTACTTTTCTGGAAGAAGATGGATGGTAAGCCTCACACTCACATTCGTTGTTCCCGGAAAAATAGTTCCCGATTCCCATTGGATAGGAAACGGAGTGGACGACAGAGTCGGTCTGGACGAAGTGATGGCATGAGAAAGCCGCTGTTTCTGCCAGGAATCAAACCGCGATTCTCCAGCCTGAAGCCAGTCACTGTACTACCTGATTTATGCTGGCTCACATTGACATTGTGTGTCTTTCAGGAGGTCGTAAACATTTACTTATATTAGAGTAGGCAAGAGTTAATTCACTTTGCAGATGCTGTGCGTAAGTTAGGTTTGCTAATTTTTTTATTTGGAATGCCTCTTGTTTTAGAAACAAATTTTTCACATATACGTAGGTCTGCTTCCAGTCATAGAGCGCTGTTTTCCTTGTCGTAGAGTGTTCAAATGCTGT